TGATTTCACTTTAGTTGTCGTCTCTGCTCTTTTCATTGGACCTCTGCTATCTAGATCTTAACTCATGAATAAAAAAAAAAAAAAAAAAAAAAAATCTATATCCAACAAGTGACAGATGCATTATAGAAAAAAGATGGAAGTAATAATTAAGCATATAAAAATAAAGTTAGAAACAATCTATACAATGTTCCCTAGGGGACAGCACAATGGTCAGAGATATAGACTGATGAGTTAGTGATCCCATATTCAAACCTTGGGATAGGCAATGAAGTATTTGGGAACAGGAGGGCCATCCCGTCACTGCTGTCACTCAGAATACCAAAAAAAGAAAAAGAAAAGAAACATTCTATACAGCCAGCATTATATACATTTCAGAAGAACAAACTAAGTGCATGGTATATATAAATAGAATTATAATTCTATTGCCAGCACTTGAACAAAATTTTACAGCCACAATCTGCTCAATTTAAAGCAGCCAAGCAATCAACTTTCACATTGGTGAGAATAGGTTGTTGCTAAATGTTGTATTCCCTATGGTTCAGATCATTAGTTGGCTGAATCATAACACATCAAATCAATCAGGGATTGGATCAGTTAAAGTATTTGGGTACCTTTTATTCCATCTCTAGATTTCACTTTGCAATTTTATGCTACAAGAATAGATGTATATCAGGGTAAAATCAACTACTATTAGCTAACAACCAAAGTGACCACTTAATTACCAGTTTTAGAAATGCAGAAACTGAAAAAATAATGCTAGCCTATGAAACAAGAAGAATTCTCCATGAATAATAACTCTTGAGAAATTTCCCCCTGTACACCAGGAGGGTTGAAGTCATAAGGGAGACTGACGATGGCACTAAAAGACTGGAAATCGTCTGATCATCTGACTTTTCTATTGATATCTTGATTTTAGAATTGTGGCTCCTCAGAGAAAGGGTTATAGGTGGTTCTTTGACTTGAAAGGAAAATTTTTACTGTTAAAAACCATCAATCTACAAAAACACATCAAAATGAATAACAGAAAAATCAAAAAAAGGAGAGGAAAAGATGAACCAAATGTAACACTAACAATTTCATTAAACAAGTGCAATCATTCAACAAAGAATAACTAATCTACAGCAAGCACCAAAGAAATTGAGGATAGAAAACCATAGAACAGGAGACCCTTGTTCAGACAAAACTTCCCTGATGTTTACTAACCACCAGGTAGTTGTCACTACTGCACTATTACTTGAGTACATACAAAAGAAAAAAAATCTAAAATAATTCCATATCACACTATGAATCAAAAACAAAATTATTGACTGGGCCAAAAATTGGCAGAATGCACCAAGACATTTTTAATGATTACATAACAGGGCACAGGAATAGAATCATAAACTAAATCAAAATGTCAACTATGCATAGCTTATCACTATTTTTACAAGCCAATTATCAAGTGTCTGAAATTTTAGATAACACAGATAATTAAAATTGGAAAATAAGATTCATATGGTTTTTATACCATCACAAAAAAAAAGGCAAATTTGTAGCACACAAAGATCAATAAAATCATTAAAGCCATATGTCTTCAAATCCACCACTCCAAATCAAAGATTCCTACGGCATGTAAACAAGAACCTAACAGAGATAAAATAAACATACATACAGAGGATGACAGACATTGACACAGCGAAAAGGGGTTTGGAATGGAAATCCCACTTGCTAATGATGAATAATTTCAATCAGAAAACCCAAAAGATACAAGCACAATGGAAGACTTATATAAACATGACAAGGAAATGACAAAAGAAATAGTCAACAAATAACCCGTTTGAGTTGGTTGCCCCTAATCCTACATTCATATGGAAAATAAGAAAATGAAGAAGAAAACCCCAAAAAATGAATTCACACAGAAAATATATGACCCCTGCCTGCATAAGCAAAACCATATATTTCCAGAACTAATCAACCACAGACAACCAATTACGACAATTATCCCAAGGACATCATCCCAGAGGCAAACAAAAAAATAAATAAATTGATAACACTAAAATTCCAAAAAAAAAAAAAAGAGAAAAAATTCATACATATAATCCAGAGAGAAGAATAGAAGCATTACGTCAAGATGTCTGAGAAGCTCATCTACAGAAGAGGGAGGATTAAGCAGCTTGTTTCCAGCCTCCTTAAGCTGCTGTTGAAGTTCAACCTCCAAGGAACCCATTTTTAACAGACACACTGGAACTGTCACCCTCGCAGCAACAAAACCCTAAAAGATCCAAACTTTATGTATGTCTGCTTTGTTTTTCACCGAAACCCAGGAACAAAAGCCTCCCAGTTAAAGACCTAAGCCATTTTTAGGGGGTTGCAGTAAACAATGCACACTGAAAGCTCCTCAGGGAACAGCTTAGGTGTTTTTTAGCGAAGTGGTGGTGGGGGGGCATGCAAGGCCTAAACTAAACAAATGGTTGGTGTCGGATTCCGCCCCCGTTTATCAGACTCATTAAAATTTGATGGTCCAAAAAAAAAAAAAAAAAAAAAACCCACATTGTATTTTTAATTAGTGGGGTGGTCCAAGTTTTCTGTTTCATTTCTCTAACACAAGACATGTATCT